ACTTGTTGGGATTGGAAAATTCTTCTATTCAATATCAAGAACAGAATTACAATAGGAGGAGCAAACTCTCACACTCAACTATTACAAAAAACCAATCCTCACCAATACACTTCTACACCAAGTGTATTTCTCTCTTCACACACTTTTCTCACTTTCTAAAACTGATACAATGAACAACAATGGAGCACTCTATTTATAAGGCTGGTCTGGAGACATGAGAAAGTTGCATCCAAGCTTCCTAGTTATCTCCATATCTTCTCCCACACCTATTTGTTGGAGAGCTCTTTCTAAGAAGGTGCCTCCATGTTAAGGTGTCTCTTGGCAACTTCCAAGAAAGAAGGTGGAAATTCCCTACACTTTGATCCCTAGATCGAGCGCATGAACGTACGCACATCTTATGCGGCATCATACAAGACCAAGTTTGGCCCAAACTTGCATTTTTCCTATTTAAAGGAGGGATTCGATTCCAATTTTTAGTTGACAAAAATTAGAAACTGTTAATTTACGAGTTTTGCATTGTTTTGAGACCACGAACCGAGGTTTGTTTGAAATTTAACTGTTTTGATTATAGGCAAATAGTTCTTACCGTCCTAATTCTATTGTTCATTCAATTATGAATTGTAGTAATTTTTATTTATGGATTTGGGAATGGTGAAGAGGTATTCATATGATCTAGGGTTCCGTTTTATCAGTTAATTGCATTATGTTTACGAAATCTGTGTTATGAATGATTTTATTGTTATCGTTTATAACCTGAAATAATCACATGTTTAATACTTTGTGAGAAATTTAAATTATTTTAAAACACTTTCAAACACATGTTACCAGTCGCTAAGAGGTGATTAACACGGTTTGGGGAGCCTTACGCTAGATCGTTTGGCAATGATCTATAAGCATGTCACTGAGACATCAGCTTTGTTCCCAACCTTCAATAAGGATATGGTTATGTTGTCTTGTATTTAGGGATCTCCTCTTCTCCTTTTCTCTTTTATCATCTCTTTATTAGATCTCCATTAATGGCGTTCAAGATCTTTCTTCTAGATAATGATGTATATAAATGGTGAGATAATTAATATATGACGGTTTATCAAGTGTTCTTAGCTATTCTACGTTTCCGTTATTCATGAGTGATATTTTATAGATTAAGAGCCCGTTTGGTAGCACTAAAATCGGCTGTTTTGGCTGATTCTGCTGAAATTTATGATATTCTGGCTGGAGTGGCTGTTTTGGCTGATTCTGCTGATTTAAGAAAAAAATATTTTAAAAATATATTTTATTAATAAATTAAAGAAAAAATTATATGTAAAAATAGCTAAAATGGTCCTCTACAGTAACTTCAACCAATACAGCCAGAAAAGTAACTTCAACCTTACTTTTTCGGCTTATTACACAATTTAGCGCGCGAAAGTAAAAGTTACGTGTTTGGTGAAAAAGCTGGCTGATAAGCTTATAAGCCTGATAAGCCGAAAACAGAGTTCTCCAAACGGGCTCTAAAATAACCGGCCTCGATATATGATTTTATGAAGTTCTAATCATAATTTCATAATCTTTTAACTACATTTCAGTGATATGAAACTGCAATAAGAAATTTAACAAAAAAAGTTATTAACTTTAGTTATCATGATCGAAAGTCATCAAAGCTTAGTGCATTAGGTTTACAACAAATCGAAAAGATGCATGGTGATAGTTTATTCTCAAGTTTTGGAGTAATATAACGAATAAGAAGTACAATAGATAAGTCATCTAAGGCTAAACAAGCATTTTAGATGAATCACTTTTTAGCTGATTGGTTTAAGACTTTAAGTTTCTGGGATTTCATATAGTCAGTGGAGGACCTAGGGATCACGGGGGACCCCTAGGTAATACGTACGAAGTACAATATTAGTAAGTTTTTATTTCAGTTTATGATATACTCACTCCATTGATGATAATTAGAATTTTCATATTTTGAAACCACACTACCAAAGTAATATTGGATGACAAAGTCAAATATGAACATACACAAAAACATGTTTGGCACAAATTTGCACACATGTTTGTTACGGCTCCGTGATAATGTTTTTGTGATAATATGGAATCTTGTAAAATCGCATCCTTGTCAAAATCATTTCTTCACAAAAAACCAGCACGCAATTGTGACAAAAGTTCGAACAAAATTATGACAAATTTGTTTCAAAGCTAATGTTTTTATTTTGGAATATGATAATAGTTCTAAATATAAAAAAGGGTTTGTCGAAGGTAGTATTATATTTCAAACTAGTAAATTTGTTGCACAATGTGTAGGTTGGACTATGTTCTAGATAGTAACTCAAACCTTATTTTTTATTGGTACAAAAATTATTGGAATTCTTATGAAGATTAATAAACAATGTAAGAACGCTAACAATATCATTCTGGTACGTACTTTACATGAGGCGATATAGAAGAATCATTGTTAAGACTCTGAGTTCCATCCTAAAAGGTCAACCTGATTTTGTGTTCTACTTCTATTTCTAAAAACTGAGTATTCGTATTTAGAACTATCCAAATTAAATGGACATATCTACATGATCCGAACCAAAAATTTGTTAAAATAGGTTCGATCTGATTTAAAAAAAAAAGAAATTTGAACACCAAATTTACCAGATGAGAATCAATTGGACCCGATGTACCCGACCTATGTGCATCCATGCCTATATAAAAAGTTTTGAATCTGTCACTGCGTATAGCTCTTCAAAACTGTGAAGTACGGTGTTGATGACGGAACCATTGTTCACTCTTGCTTAACAATTAGTTGCTAGCTCGTTAATAACAATTGTCGTTATTAACTGCAACCCGACTTTGTCCATAAATCAAAATCCTTGTAAATTTATACGAAAATTTGATATTCACTTAGTCAATTAAGTTTTTCCCTTCAATCTAACCCCATAACGATATATCAATATATTTAATCAACATAGTTTTTAATTAAAGCTTTATTTTTATTATTATACAATACTTTTTAAATTTTTTAATAAATAATTATGATTTAAACTGTCAAACATTCCCATGGAAAAATAAACAAATTTGGAGTTTAATTTTGTTGTTGACACTGCAGACATGTTTTTGAAAAAATAATAGAAAGATACGTAGAATCAAACAAACATTTTAACCATGAGATCTTCATTTTAGCACTTGGATCTACTTGATTAAGAAAAATTTCGCGTCTAAAAACCACCGGCAATTTACAAATACACATGTGTGTATTTGTAAATTGGAGAGAAAAAATTAAAGTTCTAACACTTCAAGAAAAGAGGTTCTCGATGCACTAGGTTGTGTCCAGCTAGTGATGGCAACGGGGCGGATCAGGGATGGGTACACATAAAACCGAAACCGCCCCGTTGGATAAATGTTTGCCCCAAAACCGCCCCATTACCCGTTCGGGTAATTTTTATTTGAACCGTACCCGCCCCAACGGGGAATCGGTTTATCCACGGGTAACCGCTTCCCCAAATGATGCCAAATAACCATTTTTTTGGAAAACAAATAACCAATTTCTAATCCTACTTGTTATTTATATATTCAAAGCATCCTAAAACATACAAAAGTATATATTTAAGCAATCAAGCAGACTGGCCTAAATCCATTAGTATGACATGCACCTAATATCTCTTGTAACATAATAAAAAGGTAGTAATCATCCCAGAATCCAAATTCCAAAAACAGGTTTAGGCCTATATTTAGTTTTAGGCCTAAAAAGTAGTATACTTTTTAGCATTATTTATAAGATATATATTATTTAGTATACACAATTTAGCATATAGGATAGTATATACTTATTATTCTTATATATAAAAAGTTATAATTCATTAATAATGTTACGGATCGGGTAACGGTACGGATACCCGCACCATTAGTGAACGGGGCGGTTTCGGGGCGGATTAGTATAGAACCATAACCGCACCATTAACCATTTAAAAAATTCGGGTATTCTCCGCCCCATACCCATTCCCCAGTCAAACCGGTTTTCCCTAGTTTGACCAAATCGGTTCAGTGCGGGTATCCAACGGGTCGGCCGAAATTGTCATCTCTATGTCCAGCTTTTTCTTGTGCGCCCACCCTTTTCCTTTCCCAGCCCTCCCTTATTCTAGCAGGGCTGCAAGGGTGAATGGGGTGGAAAATACCCCACTCATGGAGTAACATATTTGGCACCTTTGGAGCGAAAAGCTCAAAAATGACTTTTTTCATCCATGGGTTTCCATTAGCCTAAGACTGGAAAAAAAAAGCAATCTGCAGACTAAGTTGTGTGGGAGTTGTTAAAGACAAAGTGAGTGGAGGGTTACCAGTGGGTTAATTAGTTTACGAGGCCAGATGACCAGATCGAGTCGGTGTCCAAAAAGTATCCCACTACATAGCACAAAGAGTGGAGTGAGAGTGCTGGATACTAGCTAGCTCGAAGCAAAGTGGCACTGTTAATTACTGTACTACCAAATACTGTATAAGCTTTTAATAAATTGTGATATGCTTTTTTTAGTTTGTTAAAATTATGATTAAGCTGTTGTATAAATATAATATATAATAAAGTTGAGTTGATTAAGGAGCTTCCGTGAAAAGAACGGACCTTAATTACACAATAAACTAAATTAGACGGCATATATACTACCTCCGTTCTCTTTTAGTTGCAACATTGAACTTTTTGCACTATTCACATGTTCTACTTTGACTACATTTTATTAATTGATGTATAATAAATTAAATATTTAAAAAATATTATTACATTCTTCTCATTCTAAATTTTCAAAATATGAATTTTTTAATTTTTTTACTAATAAGAAATAAAAGATATTAATGGTCAAACTTGTGCATTGGCAAACGTGAAATGTTGACTGTTGCAATTAAAAAGGAACGGAGTTCTTCGTCACCAGTGACCTCAAAATATAGTCAGCAGCGTCACAGAATTCGTATATACTTTGCACCCCCTATTATATATGGCCGAGTATAACCATTGAAGTAACCTCACACCCAGTATTTTAATATCTATCTTTCTTAGCTTCTCTTCACTGTCAAGCAATTCTCATTCCTAACCCTAGCTATAGTAGTAAAATTATAAGAAGTTTAGCACCACTTGCTAGCTTCACAGCCAAACGCTCCTTTAGTTTCTCTCTCTCTCTCTATACGTAAAGTTGCATAAAAACCCTAACCTTGTCTTGTCTGATCTACCTTCCCCAAGTCCCAACCAAGCAAGCAAGTTAATTATATATATACAACTAATATAATGACAATGATGATGATGATGATGAAGAGAAGTCGAATGGAGGTGGCCGCGGACGCGGAGGTGCTCGCCATGGCGAACTGCCTCGATCTTCTCTCCCGCCCCAGAGCCGCCGATACAACGGCTGCTCCGTCGGAGTGGGAGTTCGGGTGCAAGACCTGCAAGAAGCGGTTCCGGTCATTTCAGGCTCTCGGGGGCCACATGGCGAGCCACAAGAGGATCAGGACCGTCAAAAAGGACGAGGGCAAGAAGATCAGGCATGAGTGTCCTGTTTGTGGTTTGGTGTTTGGCTTAGGTCAAGCTTTGGGAGGTCACATGAGGAAACATCGTGCCGATAAGGTAGAGGTCAATGGTACAATCAAATCCCAAGAGGAAAACATGGATGGAAGCAATAATTATAAGAAGGGTAAGGAAGATCAAGTCCTTTTGTGCGATTTGAATGTGATTCCTCAGAATAGTAGTGATTTTCCTGACCTAGCTGGGGATATTTCCGACGTAGTAGATATCAACTACGTCGGAAATACTGATCAGAAAACTAAGAGGGAAGAAGAAGAGGAGTTGATGGATGGAGGTGATAGTAAAAAGGACAAGGAAGATCAAGTCATTTTGTTCGACTTGAATATGATTCCTCATAGTGATGATTCCTTGGCACATGAGAGGGCTGATTTTCCTAGGGCTGCGTTGAATTTGTTCATGTAGTTCATGATTGGCTGTAAATTATTTCTAGCTTAATTTATTTATAGAAATGTAGGTTTATCATGATCATAGCCACTCTATATAATACGGTAACATTCCAACTTGCATATTTGGTTAATTAATTATACTCCATATACTATCGTATATACATACTTCATACTTAGATCCCTTTTAAATTCCGAAAATCGGAATTATTTTATAAGTTAGTTTTCATCAAAGAGATTTGAGACTCAATTTGAAGTGTCATTGTTTTAACCCTTCTTTATAATTCTAATTAAATAGAGAATCAAAAATTCGAAACCAAAATCAAATTATATACTTAGATTATGTTCAATTCCTGATCTGAACTCGTCATATATGATCAGATATGATCATTCTTTTTTTTTTGAAAGGATCAGATATGATCATTCTTATTTGCTTAAATATGATACCATTTGGTGATCCAGATCTGATAACATGTGTATTTTACTATTTCTTAAATTTGATCTTGCTTGATCTAACCTGTTTATGTGTGTTGAAGTCGTTTGAGTCTGATATCATTGCAAATAAAGACATCATTACACTAAACCAAATATTAGTGTATTTTTATTCAATTTTCTCTTCTCTTTCCAAATTAGTTTGGACATTGATTTATGTTTGAACAATGATAAAATTACTTGGTAATATTTAAATTTATATATATTACGAATAAAATTTATGTGTGTGTTACACTAAATGTTCTATTTATATTTTCAACAAAGTAAATGAATTTAAATTTGATAAAAGTAATATGGTATTTAAACTTGATTATATTTTAATATAGAATTTAATTGACAGCATACATAGAAATTTTATTAACTATAGAGACTAATTGGGGACACAATGAGTACCATTAATGTATAATTGGTTAATAGTTTCCACAGCTCCACTTTGAGACTAGTGGTATATTGGTAAGTTTGTAAGATATATAGGATGTCAACATAAAATCCCATTTTATTAAAGCAATTATAATGACTAATTTGGAGGATTTGATTGCAATTTTACAGAAATTACTTGTAGCAGAATTTCCTTTCTCGTTTTTTGAAAATAATATTTGTCAAAAGAAGCTACTAAATTGTAGGAAAAGTAGTTGTTTAAAAAAAACATTTGAGTACAGTTTTGCTCAGAATATAGAGTTATCGTTTTTCCCTAAATATTACTAATAAAAATTTCATGGATAAAAATGTGACGATAAGTTATTATAAGTAAGTTTATAGTCATTACAATATAATATTAGAATACAATTATATTCACTAAATTTACTAGAGTCACATTTTTTAAAATACTATAGGTCAAAAGAAGCTACTAAATTGTAGGAAAAGTAGTTTTTTTTTTTAACCCGGAAGGCAAACCACCAAAAATCAGTGGGGCAAATGCCGGGGAACATTTGCCATGTTTTAATAAAAATAAGAAGGAGATACAGATGAAGAGGGGGACCATACCAATACCTCTTCTGAAAGGGCATACCCTTCCGAAATACTTGCTAACAAAAAGTAAAAGCCAACTAAAGAACAGATAAAATTAAAAACGAAAGTAAGCAAGACCACATTTATCTGCCCAAAAAGATTTTTTAAAGTTAATATCTAATTTTTTAATAGAATAAAAAACCTCCAACTTTTTAGCACCAGTTTTGCACAAAAAATGTGTAGGCCAATTTATTTCTCTAAAGATATAACTACTTGTAGGAAAAGTAGTTATAAAATAACATATTTAATCATTTGAGTACATTTTAGCTTTTTTTCCTTAACATATTACTAATAAAAATTTTGTGAATAAAAATGTGATTATAAGTTACTATGACTAAGTTTATAGTCACTACAATGTAATATTAGAATACAATATTTAGAATTATTTCTAGAATATAAGTCTTGATAAAAAATATTGATCTAGCAAGTCAAACTACAAGGACCCATAGATAGTCATGGTTGGTGCTCTTAGGGGGTGTTTGGTAATTGGTCGTTCGCTGTTGGTTGTTGATCGATTGTGTTAGCTGATTGATGACAGCGGATTCTGTTGACTGTATTAAATAGTTGATGGGATATGAATCATATGATTAGCAGTTTATATAACCGTGTTTGGTTAAATGGTTGTTTATAATCAGCTAATAACTTCTATTTTAAGGACATTTTAATTCTTATTAATGTAATTAGTACAATCATTCTAACCATTTTATGATTTAAATAAAAAATAAAAATGTGGGAATACAAGTAATAATTATTTTAAATGTTTCTTTCTCATACCTATTTTTTAGAATCGTTAGAATGAATGTTATAAAATACATTGTTATAAAATACATAGAGACCAGATATTTATCAGACCAAATAGTTCAGATCAGACCAGACCAGCGAATTTCAGTCCAAAAGCTAACAAACCAAATCACAAATTAAATTAGAAGAGAAATCAAATCATGTCTTAAGCGTACATCACAAAATATTATACAATAATCTTGTATTATTACTACAATTATTATTCAATTTTCATAATTTAAATTCATAACCATCACTATTTTAGCCTCCTAGGGCAGCCGCCTCTAGGCTTTTTTTTTTCGAATTCGATCATATTGATCGAAGTTCGGCTGTTCTTGTTCGCATATCTGGCCGCGGAGCAGTGGTCTGCTTTTGGCTAAGGTAGAGCGATCACGAGTTTTTCTCTCTAGGGCTTTGACTATGTCGGCCGCTGGAGCCTTTTTCCGATTTCGACTTTATCGAAGATCGGCTTTGTTATCCCTTGGTCGCTGGTGCTCGACTGCAGTCCAGGTCAGACGCGGAGGGCGGAGATCGGTGGAGGGGGGCAGATTTGTTGTCATGGCTCGAGGAGATCGGTGCTGTGGTCAAGGTTCGAGGATGTGGCATTGCTGTCGTCGTTGGAGAAGATCGGTGCCGTCTGTCCGCTTACTCTGGTCGCACGGAGCAGGGATGAGTTTGGTTATGCAGGGACGGAGGATTGATGCATGGTCTTTGGCAGCCAAAGGTCATGGAGGATCAATTAGCATGGTACCAGTGGTACGACCTCCTCCTGAACCACCACCATGGGATGCACGAGGTGCTAGAGTTCGTGAACGTTTTTCTTGTAGTTTTTATTTGTTTGTTATTTGTTTTCTTGCGTCCATTTTTGTTGTTCGGTTTGACAGTTTGTTTGAGTTTTTTGCCTCTCTTTATGTCATTGGGTATGGTTGGATCTATGAGAATAGTTTTGGCTGTGTCAAGCCCACTACATGGTTAGCGATTCATGTTGCTCTCTTAGGGGTGACTGTCTCAAAGTCTCACCATAGGGTTACAGTCGTAGTTGTTGGAGTTTCAGTTGGTGTCTGTTTTATTTTTCCTTTGCTTGATGTAATGATCCTGATGAATCTTTTGATATGAATAGAGGCATGTTTTGATGATTAAAAAAAAACATCACTGTTTTGATTAATTCCGCTAATACTATTATTAATATCCTGTTTGAAATTATTTCTACCACTAGTAAAATTATTATTATTTCAGCACAAACATAAATTTTATTGACAAAAAGAAGATAATACAACCGCTAATGATCAAACAAAAGAGAAAGTAGAGAGTAAATTGTAACCCTAAAATTAAAGTCTGGGATCTAATGAAGGAGGAAATCAAAAGACAGAGCTAAAGAAAGAAATAAACTAATTGTCAGCATTTTTAATCATTACAATTACTCCGTACAAGATATGATATTTCGTTATGCACCTTGTAGAATAAATGTTGAGAAAAAATTGAAGATCAGATGCAAAAAAAAATTATGAATAATAGTCATAACTTATGAAAAATAAATTTAATTATTTAACTTTTATTTCACAACTATTCCATCGCCTTAGAATAAGAGCCTGAATTTTAATCATTGGCATGTTATAGGTCTCTTTCATTTGCTTCCGGGAAAATTCCCGAAATAGGAGTAAATAAGTTTTAAATTTACAAAATAGGACAGTCATTTTTATTCCCAAAGTAGGAGTTATTACTGCCATGTTTGGAAAATACTGTCATGTTTAAAGTCTGGTACTGCTAAAACATGGCTGTAATTAGTCCTATTCTGAGAATAAAAACATGACAGACCTATTTTGAAATATACAAATGCTTTTAGTCATATTTAGGGTAATTTCCCTTTGCTTTTTTATACTTCTCGGAGCATAAATTTTATATAGTTAGTATTGAATTTTAAACTTAGATGAAGTCAAATTAAATAAAATAGCAACATATAGAGAAAGTAATTTAAGCTGTAGCGCTAAAAACAATTATTATACTACTCGTCTACTAATGATAATGTTTAACCATTAACGATTAATTAGATCTCTAAAGTAAAAAATGTGGCAAACTTACCGTCGTTTCGGGGCCTTATTCTACAGAAACTTCCATAACTTTGAAATATTTCATTTATAAAACAGTTAAAGCAGTAAACTTCCATGATTCGAGACGTATTAATAACGTCATTCGTGACTTGTTAACACGAAGAAAAGCTTCATTTGTTTACCTTTTTAATTATTATTTTTCTTCGATAGGTTTGAAAGTGAACACCAAATATACACCAATTTTTTTTTATTGAATGAATAAATACAGTAACCTGAAATAGGTAGTTTCCAATCACACCGCCTGCACGAGATATCCCGATTTAGCAAGAATATTTAATTAAAGGGTATGGTTTAAAGAGCACTGGTCCCTCCGGAGGGACGGGGGACCGTCCGAACTTTACTGTTTGGGGCGGTTCCCGGTTGAATTTTTTGATGAAATTTTTTGAGCATGTTCCTCATCAAGTCTAATATGTCCATACCAAATTTCAGCTCAAAATTCGACCGGTAAGGCAGTCAAATAAATTCTTGAAACTTACTGCACTTTATATATGCGCAGAATGTGCAGTAAGCTTCAAGAATTTATTTGACTACCTTCCCGGTCGAATTTTGAGCTGAAATTTGGTATGGACAAACTAGACTTGATGAGGAACATGCTAAAAAAATTTCATCAACAAATTCCACCGGGAACCGCCCCAAACAGTAAAGTTCGGACGGTCCCTCTCATCCCTCCGGAGGGACCTGATCTTTTCTGATGGTTTAAAATCTTTCTGGATAGGAGTATTTTAATAATACAGATAGAATTATTATACTCTAAATAAGACTCAAAGAGTGAGTAGTGTGCAATATATAGTCAT